TAACAACAACGCTTTACGATAAATGTAATGACTTCAACATTCAATCGTCAACTTCTTTTACTTATGTAGCAATGATACCCTTATCACCTGCATATGGAATTTAAGTTTCTCATTTGATTCGATACGCAAGAGTATGCTAGCTCTACGTATGAACAATATCTAAAACGAGGCAAGCTATTAACAAACAAGTTCAAGAAACAAGAGGCCCATTCCCTATGTTTATCTTTTCATTTACCCCCGCTTTCGATGCCAGTGATATCACTCTTTTGTCCATGATTGTTTGGCTTTTGATTTTATAAAAAAAAAATTAGTCGATCTTTATCCTGAATATTACGATAAGTTAGGCAGTCAGTATAGTTCTAGAAAATTACATTTGCATTCTTCAGTGAGAACGATTGACCCACTTGGCTTACATTTTTCATATAAATGTAAATATATAACGTGCCTGCGTGCAAAACCCTAGCTGGTAGGATCTTAAATTTTGTTACTGTACACTGTGAATGGGGTATTTAATTTTCTAACTTTGCACACATATTAAACAAGAAGTCTGTGAGGCAATATTCACTAGTAATCTGATGTGAATATACGCTCTCATGTGAACTGCAAAGAATAATTGTTGAGAAAACTGCGACGGAAATTTGATACAGACAGACGCACGAATAAACAAGAATTCGTACAAAAATGAATCCCAACATATGACATGCCTAAAGAAAGTGTGTGCTAAAATTTTAAGTATATGCGATGAGTAGTTGCTGAGAAAACTGCGACGAAAATTTGTTACCGACAGACAGACAAAAAGACAGACATACAGACACACAAGGGTAAAACAGTATACCCCTTCTTCTCATTCGGAGCGGGGATATAATAACTTGTTGTATGTATAAATCATCGTACTGACCTGGAAAAACAACATAACAGTCAAACTTTGCTATCTCGACCTCCATGGGATCAAGAAAAAATTAACCTCGAGACATCGGAGGATTCGAGATATTAGGGTTAAAATGCATAAAAAAAGAACTGGGGACTTCCATCTTACCTGGACATATCCATGGTATTAAAGATATCAATGTTCGAGATACCTATTAGTTTAATTGTATAATTGTTTTATTATTTGATTCAATGATTGAATAATACAAACTTGTTATGCTAACATGCAACCTTTCTTGTCTACATTTGCTGAAGATAAAATAAAAATAACTATATAGTTGTATTAATTTGGAATTTCTGACTCTGTATTTTTAATACAATTTGAAAAAAATATCAGGCACGTTGCATCGATTTTGAAACCTGAGGGGAGAGGGTGAGGGTAAATTTTTTTTCTAAATTCCAAATTTTATTTCGTGTGAAGGGATGTGACGGTACATATTGTCGTTCTGTTCGTATTGTCGTCGGTGGCAATATGTACCTACCCACATTGCACATATTGTCGTCCATCGCTATACATATTGTCGCCGGTGACAATTCCTTACTTTCCTGCATAATGGACGATAAAGTTAATGTACAGTCAAGCATCGGCACATGCTGTCGTCGGCGACAATATGTACTGTGAACATTTACAAATTTTGTCGCCGATAAATTATTTCATACAATTATTATTGTTGTTTTGAGTTCAATACGATGATTTAGCCACCTGAACCCGAAGGGCGAGATGAATATTGTACATCAAAGATGGCTAAATCATCGCATTGATCTCAAACAGCAATAATTGTTTTGATATATAATTCAATGATGAAATGATATAAAATCATTAAGCAGTTCATGCCATCTTACTTGTTACAAGCCAACTGCAATGAGAGAATCAGTGTTAAATAAACGTTACCAGTCGTATTAAATTGGATTTTTTGAAATTAACTCTAGTTGCTATGATAATAAAAGAAATAATGTCAGGCTCTTTGATAGGATCGATTTCGGCGGGGGGAAGGGGGGGGGGGCAATGGGGGCATTATCAGGGGAAAATCTTTGATTAGCCCAACGAAAATAGAATTCTCTTTACTTCAAATTTTGTTTGATGTTTGGTGGGGTTAGGGGTGGGGTATTAAGAACCATTAGTGAGGGACCAGCCTTTCAATGAACGTTTTTATTCTAATTGAATTAAAAGTAAAAATTTACGTTCAGGAAAAAGTGTTGGGGGGGGGGGGGTCCCTTCCACCCCAAAACCATCCCCACCCCAAATTATATATTCCCTAATGTTATGCTCACCTGAGTGGAAGTCGGTAGCAAGTGAAATAGTTTTCCAAAACTATTGGTATCGAGAACATAAATCCTTATATTCACCTGGAAAATCACATGCATGTGAATATAACGTAGTGTTTTTTTCTTCTTTGTTGAATCTCAGCCAATTGGAAATATGAATTATTCAATTGTGTAATCATAGCGAATATTTACTAGGGCCGTGAAGAGATTGACAAACACACTCACACAAACACGCACGGAGGGAGACAGACAGACAGTAGAATTACTCGCAATAATGAAGGAAGAAAATTTTGTGGTAAAAATTTTTTGTCAAGGATCGGTGTACACGACTATGATTTAAAAAGATTTCAGAATTCCGGAATATTCTCTTTTGTCAGTTGTCATTATATAGAGTTTTTGAGTTCAGTAGTAATATGTATCTTGATAATATTTTTTGCTATTCTTATACATGTGCCAATGTAATTATGGATGGTGGTCGGGGGGGGGGGGGGGGGTCCACATTTTAGCTCAACTGAGCTTGAAGCTCAAGTGACTTTTTTAAATCACTCTTAGTGGAAAATAATCAAGAAAAGTCAAAGATATGGTAGAGTCATTAAAATCTTTTCAAGAACCACAAGACCAAAAAAAAAAGCTGAAACTTGTATGGAAGCTTCCTTACTTGGTGTAGATTTTAAAAGAACTGCAAAGCCATAATTAAGGAACCGTACTAAAGTGGAAAAATCCAATGGTAGAGACTAGAAATATTCAGTTTTTATCAAATCACGTCCGCTGTATATAGGGTTGGGTCACAAAAGGCGATCAGAAATTTACATCCGAATACATGTACAGTGTATAGGGGGGATCTTAATGTAGAACAGCAGGCAAAGAGTTTCTCAGGTAACCCATGTGGCTCATGACCCTTTTGATTAAAAGTCTTCTCAATAAACCTGCTTCCAAAGAAGCTACATGTATGTGATATTGGTTAAATCTTCAAAAGCATTGGATATCAATGTAAGTTAAATTAATAGTAGGATGCAATTAATTTCGATAGATATTTCAGACATTTTAAATTAAAGAGATATTTCACGTATGTACAACCTGTCTGCTAGCAAGCCTTCTTAACTTTCCTCATCATTTTCATCATCATTAGCATTATCTTAATATGTGCATTCAGGGTACTCAAATTTTGTTGTATGCCTGCAATAAGATAGACCGACAGACGACAATATGTGGAGTTATGGAAGGTACATAAATGTCGCCGGTGACAATATTATACTGTATCAAAAAGGAAGATCAAAAAGCCTTCCCACGAACATTTTACATGTATACTTAACCGATTGTAGACATCGTTCAGAAAAAAGTGCCCCTTCCCTCTACGGGTGAAATAACTTTTCAGATCTAATTTTATCCATTAGGAAGTTCTCAATTTATTTTTTAGTCCAATGTAGACAAAATTCATGAGCTGCAACAACGTAGCCCTCTCCGATTTTTTTTTTTTTTTTTTTTTTTTTTTTTTTTTTACATCAGATGAAAAATATTGAAGAGGGCTACATTATTTCAGCTAAAAATTCATATTTTCACCTGGAAAGTCACGTGCAGGTGAACTTAAAGTTCATGTTGTATTTTTTCTATAATGTTGGATCTCAGCCAATCAGAGAGTTAAGATTATTAATTCAAATAATAATAGTGATGGCCTTTGCTTTCTTTCATACTATTTTTTCTTAATAATTCTTGTAATATGTTCCTTTTTTTCCAAGACAAATCTCCCACCTTTTTCTTTATAATTGATACATTTCAGCACACCAAAGTGCTTGCTGGGATCATGACAATTACAACTGTCATGGTAACATGACATTTACAATTAAAGTTAGTAGTTAAAATTATTTTCATATAAAAGAATTATAAGGCTTGTAACCTCACACTCATAACCAGATATCATTGAGATGGTGGCCATCTCAAAGGGCCCCGCTTTCAAAACCGAACATGAAAAGGTAAAGTAGCTGAAAAGAGTTTACTTTGAAGAGGAACATTTGTGTACTATTAAGGGATGTGTTGTTTGAGTCTAAAGGGCTTCTATGTCATCCTTGTTATAAAAAAAATGGCATAAAGATCACGAGTGCTCCATACCCTCTATCAATAGACAGCACACAAATCACTAATGTTGCATATCCTCTATGAAAATTGTTGCATATCCTCTATCAAAATATGGAAGGAAAATCACAAATGTTCCATACCCTAAGTCAGTTGGTAAAGTTTGAGGCTAACTGGACTCAAGGGAAAGAAATTATGCACTGAACAAAGATTTTAGACAGAGAGGCTATTTTTGACCTTGACCCTTGACCTAGAAACTTTGTTCAAGGTCACTGCACATTGATTGACCAGTGGCACTCTGCGAGTGAAGTATGAACCACATTGGACCAAGAGGAGAGAAGATATGCTCCGGACAAGGATTTTTCATATAATTCTGCTATGACCTTAACCTTAGACCTAGAAACATGGTTCAAGGTCACTGCACACCCTTTACCCAAAGACACTCTGTGGGTGAAGTATGAGCCAGATTGGGCCAAGGAGATAGAAGATATGCTGTGGACAAGAGATCTCGGACGGACAGACAGACAGACTGATTACTATACGGCGCCCGCAGAGCGGAGCCCTAATTAATTAATAATGTCTGGCAACATGCAAGTAAAGAAATTCTGCTGAATATTTTAAAGTACTGTATATACTCCTTAAGGATACTATTTCATGAACCTTTCTCCTTCCACACAGGCCAACATTGATATTCGTGAATGCATAAAGTAAACAATTCAAGACAGCGACATGTTTTATTCCATTCTTTGCATAGTCATTTCATCGTGAAAACATTTGTACATACATGACTGTATAAAGATAAGGAATTATTTTCACTGACTGATTTAAAAATTCTTTAAATTCTCAATATATGAAAAAATATTCCTTTACAACTGTTTCTATCAAAGTGCTTAACATTAATGAACCTATTAAATGAATGCATTACTTATTGAATGATTATTTGATAAATTGCTCTATTTAACTTCTTTACTTATCTAAAGAAATATGCACTCTGATTTAACAAAAGTATATAAAGATTTATACACAACATAGTTTATATATATACCTTTCAAACACTAATTCCAAGACTTTCCCAAACTTTCTTCATCTTTAAATCAAGAATTTTTTTTTTTTTATTTCTCATGATCCAATACATATGTGTATACCAGTACAACACAAATAACAGAGACAAAAATATTGTTAGACAATCTTTTTTTTGTATATTGCTGCATTGTACTTTACATAGGTACAGTCCTTTTTCTTGCAATTTTAAGTATAATCATAAGCATTTAATGTCCAAACAATAAAAAGCTGTTTTGTTGGTGTTACACAAGATGTGATGGTTTTTTTGATACAGGGAACACAGTTGGAACAAAAGTCATGCATGAACATGCCTTTAATATAATTATTAGGCAAGAAAATCCATTTCCAGATCTGTGTTGTCGTTGACAACTTGACATAATATTCGAAACTCTTTGAACTTCTTTTCTTTTAATCAATGTCTTCATTTTTTCTTCCTATATATTGATTTTAATTTTTTGATGGTAGTGCTTTGGGTGTTGTTATGTAAAGATAAATCGGAAATAGGCAGTCCTCTTTTTTCCCCTGTTGTTTGATGTTTTTAGGTAATATCTGAAAAGAAAGCATTGGTCATGAGCACTTAAAGCAATGTAGGAAATATCAGCAAAAAATACAACTAATTGCCAATTTTTGTAATTGCACACCCCGCACCTGAGATGTAAATTGCATTTGGCAGTATTCTAAGTTTGTCAAATGGCACAGAGTATTTGTGAAATACCAACTACAAAATCATGATCTTAATAGGCATTCAAATGATAAGCATATTAGAAACTTAAATATTATAAATCTCACAGAATGAAAAGACAACAAAGATGTCCATAGGACATGAATGCCCAGTCGCGGGTATATTAGTAATGCAACATTAAAAGAGCTATATAAATCCCCCCCCCCCCCCTTAAATGTCATATTTTTAAAATTTCTTGAAATGTCCTGAATTGTATATATTGTATGAACTAGATGTGTCGAACGCCATGAATGCCTCTGCAGTTAATTTCTTAATTTTTTCTAAGTTCAAGAGAGATAACTTTGTCAAAAATCATCGGACCATGACCAAATTTGAACTTGACCTGTATTTTTTGGTAAAATACCTGCACATGCAATTTCAACCTTATATATACATCCCTACAAAAGTAAGAGAGTGGAAACTGAACATTTCTATTTTTTCTAAGTTCAAGAGGAATAACTCTGTCAAAAATCATCGGACCATAACCAAATTCGACCTTGACCTGCATTTATTAATATATCCATATGTCAAATTTGCGTTGAATGTGTGCAACTGTTGCAGAGATAATGAATGGGAAGTGAATGATGATGGAATGATGGAACAGAGTAACACTATATTCCCCTGCCCATTTATGGCGGGGGCAGAAAAATCAGAATTAACAAAAAATATCGTGGTTTCAAAGCAGGTCATTGGCAATTTTTGTTTCTAGGACACCACAGATTATTTAGATTTTGTGTTATTTATCAGAAAGAGGACAAAATGTACACAATTTGTTCAATTTTTACTCTAAAATTTAAAAAGCGCAAATCTGCTCCATAACAATATTAACATATTTCACTGATACAGTCCATTATCATTTTACAAAAGTTATGGAAAATTTGACTATAGGTCATCTTCCTGATGTCATATCTAACATATGATGTCATGGCTGATGAAAATATATCCCCCTGTTTTAGAACATAATTATGCATTTCTCTGTCAAAGTTTGATTTTGGGGGCAAATATCAATTGGTCATTATCAAATAGTAGTGTATGAATTTTGACTTTTACTCGACACTCAGGGCCAATGAGCAGTGAGGGATCTTTATAGTGCCAATGCCTGCCGTGACACGGGGCCTCAGTTTTTAAGGTCTCATCCAAAGGACCCACAACTTTCACTTCAAAGTGCTGATCGCATGGCAAAGGAACAGTTGCTACCCATTTTTTTATCGACTTAGGTCAGTCGCAGCCGAGATTCGAACTCACGACCTCCCGATCACGGAGCGAGCACTCTACTGATTGAGCTACTGTGAACGGTCTTCAAAATTGAAATTGAAATCTAAAAAAAAGATATAGTTGATAAATTCTCACCAAAATCTGTTTAAGTGTATAAGCTTATGTAGAAATATCTTAAATGCTTTCTTTCAAACTAAGCAAAATACAAATTTAAGAAAGTGAGGTCAAAGAAAAGGTTAAAGTAAAAAAAGGTTGATGCCCTTCAAAAGCTTACTTCATTTTGTATCAGCATATGAAGTTTGATAACACTGTCCAGAATGGTTTCTTAAAAACTGAGCTAAATACTAATTTAAGAAAAGTGAAGTCAAGGTCAAAAGAAATGTCAAGGTAAAAAAAATGTTGATGCAGTTGAATAGCTCTCATCAGTATGTATCAGCATATGAAGTTTGGTAAAAATATCTTGAATAGTTTCTTTAAAACTGAGCTAAACACTAATTTAAGAAAAGTAAGTCAAGGTCAAAGGAAAGGTCATGATCATGAAATGTTGATGCAGTTGAATAGTTCTCCTCCATGTGTATCAGCATATGAAGTTTGATAAAAAGATCCTGTCATAGTTTCTTTGAAACTGAGCTTTAAACTGTTCTAAAAACAAAGCATAACGGAAGGACAGAAAGACGGAAGATAGACATGACAAACTCTATATGTCCTAACCATATTCATGTATTCTGATGCAATGTATTTAAAGACTCATCTATAAATGTCTTTATAGTACTGATACATGTCCCCCAAAAATGGCTAACCAGTAATCTGAAATGAAGAACTTTGCGATCTTGCTAAAAAAAATAATAATACAGTCAGGGTTTAACACTAAGGCACGTCAGACCAACTTGGTTAAATGAATGGTATGGTTGTGTGCAATGTATGTGAACTAGACCTTTTGGTCAGGTTGATAACTGTTAAATCCTTTTCAGTCTTTTGAATAAATATATACAAAATTGTAAAAAAAAAATTATCTTATTTGTACAAATGTAAGCACAACCTTTGCTCTGTATGTTGAAATCCCTTCATAACACAATTGTTATTTTTAGCAATAAAATTTTTTATAATATATATTTTTAGCTGTAGTAGACAAGTCTGGGTTGAAACGTATCAATTGATATGGTATAAATACTTACCAAGTAACACTTTCTGTATTTATTAATATTTAGGATAATCATTTTAGTAAAGTTTGTTGAATGTCTTTAAGGCTCATAATTTTCATGTCCCAATTAATGAACCAGACTCAAAATGGCTACTCTGTCAGAATCTTGACACGCATGAGAGATAGTTTCAAAAGTTACCAATTAAAATTAACAATTATAAGAAGTTTGGTCAGGGCAAGTGATTTTATGGTTAGTAATTCAAATTATGGAAGGTAGCCTGACATGTCTAGTACTTGTTAAAATAAATGTCAAACCTGATACTCAAACCCCGTTATCTCGAACTATCCATAGAACTGTGGAAAAACTTGTAGATATCGGGAAGATTCAAGATGTTAAGGGCAGTGCTCCAAGTCACACTTCCTACCAGGTCGCTAAATGACGACCTAAACTTTTTTTTGGTCGCCATTTCAGAACTTCTGGTCGCAATCAACAAATATTTCACTCGCCATTGTGAAAACATTTTGTGAAAACACATTTACATGTAGCATATAGTAAAAGCAAGGAACAACACTCATTTATGTACCTACGATGTCTTTTTAAAATTTATCAAAGATTACTTATTACTGTGACTTAATAATTTGCTAGGCTGAAGAAACCACTCATGAAATAGTAGTTCATAGAACCACCAGTATGGTTGTGCAATGAAGAACACAAGTGTTTTATCCTAGAATTAAAATTAATTCAAATGAAATTGTAGCAAGTTTGACTGATGCGTGCATAAGTTTGAACTATTCAGATCTGACTTCGTCAGCTGTTTGTTATGTTTATTTTATGAACCTATGTATTAAACAGTTGTTGTCCACATCACCAAAACATGATGATATTCAAGCTATATTAGCCAAATGCTCCATTAACAAGATCAGGTTTTAAAAAGAATACAACATTTTGACAGCCGTTCTGTTGACTGTACAGCATGCTGGCATATCATTACGTAATCTCAGTCTTTGCGACGCTTAACAAAGTTTTAGGAATGTCCTCATTGACAAACATTTTCTTGACAGAGAAGCTTGGGAAAAAAGTAATCTTGATCCCAATCATAAAAATTGACAATCGCCAGCCCAAATTTTCTCAGTCGAAATAATGCGAGTTTTAGTTAGTTTTAATTTCCAGTCGCAAATTTAAATTTTTGGTCTCAAATGCGACCATTTTAGTCGCAACTTGGAGCACTGAAGGGTAAAATATTTATTAAATATAATAAAAGATTGGGACTTAAAAATTACTGACATATCCACTGTATTCGAGATATCAGTATTCAAAATACCTATGTTTAACTGCAAAATCATGTATTCTGTAAATCAACTATTATTCCCGACAATTTTTATTCAGGATTCTTTACCTTGAAATCCATCTGCAACAGTAAGCATTAATTTTTCCAGTGAAGGAAACATTCTACCATAATACAATAGCTGTCACAACTTATGATTGGTTTGTAATGAGAAATATTTCTAAGTAATGAAGGTTGCAAAAATTGCAGATCTTTCTTGCAGGCAAGTTAAAGTTGATTTACAGTATATCATGTTTATATACTGAACTTTACAGGGTATAATAATCAAATCTTACCATTCAAAGTAATTTAATGTTTCCCTAAGTATGACATCTTCTTTCATCAACTGCCATCAGAAGTTCGAATACTTAAGCCAGTTCCAATGTCCTCCTTTGCAAACCCTGGTATTCCATGTGAACGGACATTGGGTCTCCGTCTGATTCTTAGCCACTCCAATTCTCCCCATATCTTCAAAGAGAAAAAGAAGTCAACTCTACCTAAGATCAATAGCTTCCTTAAGCTGAAGTCTTCTTAAATAAAAGATGATCTAAAAGAGGTTTAATATACAACAATGCTCACTTGAGCCATTTCAGCTCTGCTGTTCTTCAGAAACTTTTTTATCTCCATGAAAAATTGTGACCTCATAATGTGACCTAACCTAGCTCCAATAATACTGCATCTTTGGTTGATTTGTAACATACAAATTAATAATTAACAAGCACTCTGAGAGTATTGCATTAGCAATACTAGTCCCCTACCGCCAAGTGTAATCTGGTTCCCGTTAAGAATTGAAAATGCCATAATTCCGTCAAAAATCAATGAAGTGGGACGAAATGCAAATTTGATCCACAACTTATCAAGGTAAAGTCACATAACAAAAATCAGCTCAATATCTGAAAGCGTTTAGAAGAAAATTGCGGAAAACCCTTAAAAATTGAAAAGGCCCTAATTCCAACAAAATCAATGAAGCGGAACGAAATGCAAACTGATCTGTAACTCATCAAGATACACTCACATACCAAAAATCACTCAATATCTGCAAGCGTTTAGGAAAAAAGTACGGAAAACCAAGTGGGACAGACAGACAGAGGGACAGACAGACAGACAGACAGACTCAGAGGAAACCTAAAACCTATAGTCCCCTCCGGTTGCACCGGTAGGGGACCAATTACTAAAAAAAAAAATTGCGGGGGGGGGGGGGGGTGGGGGTGGGGGGACTACTTTAACACTTTCCACCACCATACATCCAATACATGTTTTTAAACCCAGAAAGACCAGCAGGGGGAACAACGTAAACATGTGGCATATTTCTCTCTTATAATGTACAGTGGGGTATTTTTTGTGTGGAACGATTATTTTAGGGTTTTACAGATTTATTCCTATGGTACACCTGATAAATAAGTGTAATAAATATAATTTCTGAAAAAAAAGTCCAAGTCCTAAGGGAGGGGGGGTCCTATCCATAAGTACCTGTGCTGCTGACTTGTGGGGAATAATTTTCACTTTTTAGCCCTGTTGACTTGTGGGGAATATTTATCACTATTGACTTATGGGGAATATGTATCACTATTTATCATTGTTGACATGTAGGGAATATTTATCACTGTGGGCTTGTGGGGAATATTTATTATCATTGTTGACTTGTGGGGAATATTTATCATTTTTGACTCGTGAGGAATATTTATCACTGTCTACTGGCTTTTGGAGAAATGCATTATTTTACTTAACATTTACATTAAAAAGTGTAATAAATATAATTTCTGAAAAAAAGTCCAAGTCCTAAGGGAGGGGGGGTCCTATCCATAAGTACCTGTGCTGCTGACTTGTGGGGAATAATTTTCACTTTTTAGCCCTGTTGACTTGTGGGGAATATTTATCACTATTGACTTATGGGGAATATGTATCACTATTTATCATTGTTGACATGTGGGGAATATTTATCACTGTGGGCTTGTGGGGAATATTTATTATCATTGTTGACTTGTGGGGAATATTTATCATTTTTGACTCATGAGGAATATTTATCACTGTCTACTGGCTTTTGGAGAAATGCATTATTTTACTTAACATTTACATTAAAAATACAAATTATTTTTTCAATAAATATCTACCAAATCTAAATTTAAAGAATCAATCATCATATAAATGTACTGAAACTAAATAATGTTCATAAGTCCTCTAAATCAAAGCACATTAAACATGTTTGATATGCTGCATATAGAGTTCCCTTAACTAGATTTTAATTTTTTCTTGCATAAAACTGTTTTCAATTCAGAGCTTATAAGTCAGTCTATGCGAAAGTTTTGTGGACCACACTGGACATTCAGTCCTGTGTAATTTTTAATTAATGCAATGAATACAAAGGAAAAACCTCTTAAGTATAGGCCCAACAGCTTTTCTTTTACCAGGGATCGCTCCCACATAATTCTGTAGACAGTCCATGTGTCTTAATGATGTTTATTTATGCATTTGGAATTGTATATTTTCTACTTATAAAAAAAAACATTGAAATGACTGCGTCGAAATAGTTAAGCTCAAAACCAAACTCTGAGACATCAGACATTCCGGTCCGGTGTAAAAATGACACATCAGGCCAGAGGCACTGTATCCAGGGATAGTGATCTCAAACTTTGACTTGTCTCAATGCAAAACTTGGTTGCCCAAAATTAGGAAAGAACTTAATAAGCAAAAAATTAATTTCTGTAAACGTTATGATAAGAAAAAAATGTGATCAAATATCAGTATATATACCAGTCAGTGAAAAAAAAAAATGATGCTGCATTTGTACATAAATGTATACAACTGTACTTGTAAATTTAACCTTCTAACACACACTGCCATGCAGCAATAACCATTTCCTTTTAATTTCCTTATACATGTAATAAAATTCATATTTTAAAAAAATTATTTTCGGTAGGATCCTTTTGTGAATCGTGATTTTCAGAGATAACTCTGAAGCAACGCTAAAGGAAGATACATGTAGTTGCTACGAAACATACATCTTATCTTGATCAGGATACATTATGTTACGCTGTACATATATTCTGTGCGTGAATAAATAATCTAATTTCCTAATAAGAAGTTAACAAAATATTGTTAGACGTAAAGCGTATTTACTACAAAGGAAAATAACGAACCTGATTTTAAAATGAATGGTATAATCCAGAAACGCTACCAAGGAAACATTGTCAATCAGGTGCGTGGCGGAAATCAAGTGTTCAATTTATTGTTTTATTAATAAATTAATGTAATCTAAATAAATATGTGCATTTGCATGAACAAAATCACTTGCTCGATCGGACAAGTATTTGACAATTTCACTTGCCCAAACTGAGAATTTACTTGTCTCAGGCAATTGGACAACCATTAATGTCGATCCCTGGCACCAATTGATTACTCTCAATTATAATCAATCATTTATTAGTAGATATTGTAAAATTTTCTGATAATTCAATATTTATCAACATGGTTATATCTTCACAAAGAATTTTGGCTGAAGTAAGTCGGAGGTTAGAGTGATCTGTTCTGAATGAATCATGGTAATATTGTTACCCTCATCATTAACAACATATTTTGCAATGGGTAACATCATATAAATAGTGCTTATTTTTTAGGGTAAAACAAGAGGCCCCTGGACCACAATGCTAACCTGAGTAACTTTGGCCCCACTGTTCTTCATCTGATTTCCCCCCTTGTAATACCTATTGTGGCCCCGCCCTACCCCAAGGGGTCATGATTTGAACAATTTAGAATCTTCCACATTAGTTTCAGCTTTTTGGTTCTTGAAAATAAGATTTTTAAAGATATTTTCTACATATTTCAATGTAAAAACTTGGATTCCCTATTGTGGCCCCGCCCTATCCTAGGGGTCATGATTTGTATAATTTAGAATCTACACTACCCAAGGATGCTTCCACATAAGTTTTAGCTTTTCTGGCTAAGTGGTTCTTGAGAAGAAGATTTTTAAAGATATTTTCTACATATTTCAATGTAAAAATTGGATTCCCTATTGTGACCCCGCCCTACCCCCGGGGGTCATGATTTGAAGAATTTAGAATCTACCCTACCCCAGGATGCTTCCACATAAGTTTCGGCTTTTCTGGTTCAGTCGTTCTTGAGAAGAAGATTTTTTAATGACCCCACCCTATTTTTGTCTTTTCTTGATTATCTCCCCTTGAAAGGGGGTTTGGCCCTTTATTCTTAAAATTTAAACTCCCCTTCACTCAAGAATGCTTTGTACCAATTTTGGTTAAAATTGGCCCAGTGGTTCTTGAGAAGAAGTTGAAAATGTGAAAAGTTTACAGACTGACGGACAGACAGCTAGAGGGATGACGGACAATGGGTGATCAGAAAAGCTCACTTGAGCTTTCAGCTCAGGTGAGCTTAAATGACATACTGAGAGAAAAATATTTTCAACTGATGCATCAGTATGTACACTACAGTGTATTATACAGCTGAATGTCTGATTGATAAATAAAACAAAAAAATTCTACATCAGAATTAATTTAAAAAGGCATTTAAACACTCTGCATAGGTTTTTTATGCCAGTCCTATACCCCAAGGGATCATGATTGAAAAAAAACAAAAAAAACTTGAGTCTACCTGAAGATGCAACCATATGAATATGACTAACCAAGGTTTTATTTTTCTTGAACAGTTAATTTTTATTTAAAGATTTTTCCTATGTTTTTCTATGTAAAACTTTGATCCAAAATTGTGGCCCCACTCAACCATTACACCTGGGGTTCATGATTTGAACAAACTTAAATCTGTGGCAGTGCTACCTGAGGATGCTCCCATATGAATATGACTACCCATGGTTTTGCTGTTCTCGAGAAGACGTTTAAAGATCTTTAGCTATATATTCCTCTGTAAAACTTTCATTTCCCATTGTGGTCCCGCTCTACAAAGGGGTCATGATTTGAGCAAAACTAAATCTAAGGGCAAGAGAAAGAAAAACCCCTGACCCTAGGGCCATGAAATTCATAATTTTGGAACTCAGGAAGAGGCACTTTGCTCATTTAATAGTCTGTCTGTTTAATACCCAGGAGAAGAAAAGATTTTCAAAAATATTAAGGAATTTTCACTATATAAATTCAATAGACAACTCCATCTTCAAACATAAGAGCTGCTGACCCTGAAGCTACAAATTTCACAAATCTGGAAGAGGTACCCTTGATTAATATAACCATGGGCTCAGTTTATCTGCTTTATACCGAGAAGCAGGAAAGATTTTCAAAAAATTAATGCATTTTCACTGTATATTCAATAGAACCATGCCTTAGCACCAGAATCCCGAACCAAGTGGCCATGATATTCACAATTTTGAAAGAGACACTGTTACTTATCATAACTATGTACTAAGATTGGTATAAATCTGATGCACATGATCAAAGAAGGAAGATTTTCAGAGAAATAATGCATTTTCACTATATAACCAATTGGGCCCTGCTCTAACACCAAAACTAATGACCCCTTGGGGAATAAAATTCAAAATTATGGAAAAGGCAACTTTATTCATCATAACCATGAACTTAGTATTGTTTTCAACACTCAGGAGCAGAAAAGAAATTTTCAAAGAAATAATGCATTTTCACTATACCTGTATTATCCATAGACCACACCCTCCAACCTCTCATCCAGGGGCTATGAAATTCACAATTTTCAAAGAAGCACCCTTGCTCATTATAACCTGCACTTAGTTTTTTCCCCTTAATAATCAGAGACAGAGAAGAAGATTCCCAAAGAATTAATGCATTTTCACTATAATTATCACTAAAGCCCCATCCTAACACCACAACCCAAGGGCCATGAAATTAATAATTTTGGAAGAGGTGCTCATCATAACTTTGTACTTAGTTTGTTTGCTTCATATCCAGGAGCAGAGAAGAATATTTTTAAAGAAATAATGCATTTTTACCATATTTAATCAATGGAGCTCCACCCTTACACCAGAACCCCTGATCTTGGGGCAATGAATTTCAAAATTTTGACAGAGGGCTTAATGCTTATTCAACCATAGCAGCAATTCAACTGTTTAATTTCCAGTAGTAAAAAAAAGAAGATTTTAAAAGATTGAAATAATTTTAATAAGTTTAGCCCTATCCCTCAGGCCAAAGGGGGGGGGGGGGGGTGGCAGATATAATGAAATTCACAATTTTTATTCCCCTTCATCATACTAGATATTGGTTGAAATTGGTTCATCAGTTCCAGAGAAGAAGCTAAAAATATTCAAATGTTAAAGAAGGATGGACAAAAGCATATAGCAAATAGGTCAGTGAGTGACTTAGGTTTTCATTTGAAAAAAAGGGCTAAAATTAGCACAGAGTTAATTGGAGTTTCCTTTCAAGTAAGATCGATTGAAAACAAAAAAAGTGCATTTCAAAGACTGAATAACCATAAGGTCAGCAAATGAAGTCAGTGAATGTTTTTTTTTATGGTAATGGAAGCATAGATTTCAAAATGAGAACTTAAATGATAATTGTTTACTTATGATCTATTACTGTAATCTTGACTTACCAAAGCCTTCTGTCATCATACAGAAATCCAGACAGAATGCATTCAGTTATATACTTGTATCCTCCAATTCCATGCAGAGTTGTCTGTTTACACATCTGCCTCTCAGTCTCCAACATTTTCAAGAATAAAGTCACCTTAAGTTTACTCTTGTTGTGAAAACTCCAAAATCTGCAATAATAGTTTTGCTCTGCATTACACAATTTAATTGAATTTTTTTCATCAGTATATGTGTATATTTTTACCCATGATTACAAGAAAAGTCTACATCACTCAACACCTGATTTTTGACCCCAATAGCAAATATAATTTGTTAGTGCTCTCAATACAACTGACCTTGTCTCGACACACAAGAACAGGTAAGAAATAAAATATAATATTATGTAATCTTTGCATCAACTTAGATAGTTTTAAAAGACATTTTGCTTTATCTGGAGGGGCGAGATCAAGTCAAACATCTGGGATTGAATCATTCATCTTTTTTGTACTGTTTAAACTTTTCACATTTTTTAAAAAAAATACATGACTTTGTACTGGTATAATTTAAAGATTGTGACCCCTTGAACTTTTGAGATTTCAACCTTTTCTAAAAAAAAATTTGAAATATTGTTCATGTCGATAACAAATAAAGTTGCAAGACTGGTGCAAATTTAAGTATCATGTACACAACAGGTCTTCCCGGTTCTTCTTTTCTTCTTCAATGAGTACCTATATGATGATCACCATCAATTTGAAAGCAATTGAGTTCATCAAAAGCAAACATTTTTATAGAGGGGGGACAAAACAGGTAGAACTTGTGATATGATACGTATCTCAATACATAAACAAGTAACATGATATGATACGTATCTCAATATTATAATAAATATATATGAAAACTATAAAATTAAAACTAGAGTGTTTCAAGGAACACATGTGTCGCCTGCTCTGTAGCTTCCTTAAAGGTGACAAAAATCTAAAATTGGTCAGCTTTTTATTTACTTTTAGCATGATAGTTCAATACATGCATTTGCCTGCAGAGAAAAACTGGCAGCTATGGATAGTATAAGACTTTGATAGAATCTGACAATCAAAGAAAATATGGTTCTTTAACCCTCAAATGAATAATTTAATTGAAATTAATTAATTATTAGAAATATCTACCTATCATTTTATTAAGACATATTTCCAACAATTAATCCTCCAAAACAGATTTCAGTCTGTCCTTACTGCAATTGTCACTCTACACGATCCATGGTGGAATACCGATCCCAATGTATTTTCATTGTAACTATTTACATATGTGTTAACTGAATTTCAGGCCTAGATAAATAAATTGTGCGTTTCCGGTTCCCCATCAACCCTATAATATATGAGCCGACCCTGAAAAATTTATCCGCGGATATCTTTCCAGAAGTAAACAATTCCTCTTCACTATTAGAAATCCTAATCTCGATCACTTCGGTGTTAAAATAAAATAAAATGTTTTCCCTACCTACCTACCCTATTTTTTCTCGGGTTGGAATAGGAAACACACTATTTATTTATCTTGGCCTCATACATTTTCAAAGTACTTTATCATGAGCTAAACGTGTTTCCAATAATCCTCCAAAAGAGATTAACATGAGAGTCTTAACATGATCCATTGTGGAATAACGATCCCGATGTATTTGCATAGTATTTAATTAAAATATGTGGTAACTGAACATCATACAGATTCAAATTACAGTATCATGAGCTCATAAACATGTATAAATGCTAATTATCAAAATCCTGTCTCTCAAATTTCAGAAGTCATAAATTAAACTAAACTTCCCGAGGTATTTTTTGCTGGTATTTTTCATATTGTGTTACGACAAACATGCTAAATGGCATAGAAATACCTCTTAAATGTCAAAAATATGCTGTAAATTGGCCCTATGAACTACATTGTATTTTGAAAAGTAGGTCAAAGGTCAAGGTCAAGAGGTCGGTAACCATGGTAATTTACAAAAGCCATAGTGCCAAGCAATATATGTGCAAAATATAAAATCCATACCTCTTACAGATCTTGAGATATAGGGTGTGACAGAAGGACAGACAGATGCCAGGTAAAGTGATCTCTTAGTGCCGCTCTGCTCTGCAGGCGATACAAAAATTTAGTATTTCATTTCAATGTCTTTGACAATAAATCAAGATTCTATATCAAATCAAATGTGCTTTGAAATTGATACTTGAAGTTCATCAATTTCATTGACTAAAAATTTACAAAACAATATTCTAGGGCATATTTACTACCGATATTCGGACTTATTTTTCAAGAGAAAATTTCCCCTAATATCCCATTTTCCCCTTTTGATGAGTACAAAATTCCCCTTACAATAATGAAAAGCACAAATAATTTTTTTTCCTTCAAAAAATTTTCATCAGATGTGAAATATGATATACTTTGCTATTTTATGCACTCTAAATGTCATTAAAATGCTGAAATTGGGCCCCCCACATGGCCGTAGGAACCGGGGGGGGGGGGCATGGGGGGGGCGTGCCCCCCCCCCCCCCGATAATTTTGCCGATATATAGAACACTATAGAAAACATAGCTACTATATGCTTGTGCCCCCTCAATAATAACGTCTGATGACCTTTTTTTTTTTTTTTTTTGCTTGTCAGGGAATTTTGGTAGTTGATAGTGCCCCTTCAACTGAAAATGTATGGTTGTGCCCCCTCAAAGTGAAATTGCTTCCTACGGGCCTGCCCCAGCAGGGCTTGCCAGTGAAAGTGGCCCATAGACCCCAGCTGATTTTCCCAATTTCTCCAAAAAGGGTAATTTCCAATTTGTTTCAAAATTTCAATCCAAGCTTTGTTATTGGCTGTTAGTGCAGATGGCCACTAACAAAATCATATTAACTGTTGTTACGATTAACTGTTAACGATACTTTTTGATGCTTTACATACTGAACTTTTCTATGTACAGTACCATCTTCCGAGGATGCTCAAGAGTGAAAATGTTTTCCCTCTTATCTATGACTTATTAGATGTAAAGAGCGTTTACAATATCAATATCATCTCTTCACTTTGTACAAGCAGCCATTTTCAATTTTTTGATAGGTCGTTCATGTATCGTTTCGTACCGATATTTCAATGCATGTATCATAAACCATATCTAAGCCAGAAAATATCGGTATGTATTGGTTTATCGATATATCATCCCACCTCTACATTTTAAAAAATTAATATTTATATATAAGATTATAACACTAATGTACTAGAGACATAATTTTGTGTCTTTGACTGAATTTGAACCCATCCCTGGCATGCCAGTCCATTGTTCTATCAATTGAGGTACAAGTTTAACCCACAAGCCTAAGCCAGTATTAAAGAAGCTGTGTATCATACACTACCATACCAGGGTTCGACACTAACTTTTTCAGGCTTTAGTCCAGCCGGACTAGTGCTTCATTACATTTAGTAGTCCGCACGCGATTTTATTAGTCCGTCAAAAAAAAAGAAACATCAATGTTTTTAACAATAATTTAACGTGACAATTAATATACGTATTATTTTTTGAAATAAACAAAGTATTTACGTGAAATATATTATACCACAGATTCATTGAAATCTCGCAATCAGCAATTACGATCATTTTCCCGATCTCGTTTTTTTTTTTTTTTTTTTTTTTTGTCTTTACATTACATGCAGAACGTCCAACATCTTACTTAAAAGTGTCATACTAAATCATGATCGCTAAAACTTTATACTTCATATCGATAAGTCGGAAAAATTAAGCGCTGAATTGACCTGGCTTTTGCGTAACTACCCGCCAAAGCTAGAAATCTAAAAAATACACGCGGGGTTTTCCAGTAAAAGTTGTTGAGAATCGGACATCGGTAATTTATTCATATTGTTTTTCAGTTTTTATTGGTCCGTTCGGACTAATTAGCCACATATTTTATTAGTCCGAATGAAAATGTATTAGTCTGAGACTAACGGACTAACGTTAGTGTCGAACCCTGCATACTAACACATGTATATAAAAAAAATAACTGTTTTGAATCCTTAGTTATTTAATAATGTTCCGTAAGTGATTTATCATCATGCTCACTTTAAGCTTTTTTTTTTTACTTGTTCTGAAGGGGAAACACCTTCTTTAGCAGGGTTGTCCCTAAGAATTAAAATAGCAGGGGACATTTAAAAAGTAGAAGGGTTTTTCGGGTTCCTCCCTAACGGAGGGGTTGAGGGGGAATACCAGAATAAGCGGGGGATTACATCATTATAGGTGGGGAAATTCCCGGCCCCCGGGTTTTAGGGACAACCCTGTTTAGATGCAAATTTATAACTACAGTGAAGCACGCTTATAATGATGGAAGTGCAAGAGACAGATGAGTATGCTTTGTTATAATTTATTTTACATATATGTATTAAGTTTACAATATATTTTAAAGTCACTGGGATTGTAAGCGTCAATTCATTAAACATGTTTGTGCTTTACTGTAGTGCTTTTCGTAGGCGCTCGTTTTATAAAGTACACGCAAAGAGGTACAGCGTCCTTTCCCACTATTGAACATTTTCAGAATCTCAGACACCCGACAACATGCAGACTTTGAACTGCAGACTTTACACTTAAGGGAACATGTCAAAAGAGTAATTTGAATGATACATTCGAGTATATTTTATTGAATTTGATAATCAAATTTTGTTCTTATTTGTACAAGTTATACATCTCTACATAAACACATGATGTGGGTGGAAGGGGGCAAGGAGGCTGCCCCCACCTTTTTCTGAGAATACTTTTTTGCTGTTTCCCAATAACTTTTTTCATTTTATAAATCAATAACAACAAACTCCCAACAACAAATAGAAAACAAGGATCTTCACAGGGGCTGACAAATCCCATTGCCCGATGCCCGGGGCTAGTGAATTTTAGGGTTGGGCTTGTGAAATTTTATCAACCACTTGCCTGTGGGCAAGTGACTTAAAAAAAAATTAAATCCACGTATAAGTCAAATAAACAACTGAATAAAGCTAGGCACAGGGGCTTGCATTATATTCTTATTAGGGATGTCAACAAATAGTCGACTATTCGACTATCAGTTGATTGGACCGACGATCGAATAATGAAACGACATTCAAATATTATTATTATTATTATTAAATAAATGCAAAAAAGTGGGATAACGAGATGGAATTCTCATCTCAAAACCGAGAAACCCTCAGTCTTCAGAGACAGTCGATAATTTTCCTCCACAAAATATTGATTTTCCATGTACATATATAGAAAGTACACTAATTGTTAGTGCTTCACAATCGTGAGAATTATTTGTCCGTATTGTTTTTGTAGTAAATTACCGATCAAATTACTCTGTTTTCTTTGTAAAAATATTAA